ATTTAAATTTTGTAATATAAATACTATATAAAAGCATATAATTTCACTTTATATTACAGAAATATCCAAAATATGAAAAAATCTAGAAATTTTTAGCTAAATATTGTCTTCCTTGCAGAAGAATTTATGGAGCTAAAGTAAAAGTTACTGTAAAGAAAACATTTGTCATTCTATAAGGATTTTTCTTATTTTGATGAACATTTTATTTTATTTTATTAATATTTTGGTTAGATTGACTATAACCCTTTTGCAAATTTACTTTGAAATATTTTATTAAAATTAGTAATACAATTAAAAATATCAGAATTAAAACATGTTTTATAACTCACCTTTTTGCCTTTTCTTAATTTTCATTTTGCATTTCACATGTATGATGAATTATTCTTTCATTACATGTAATTGACATGTTGCACATGCATGTACAACAACATGCAAACATGAACATATAGCTATGAATTATTTTGTATTCATGAGACTCAATATTTCATTTTAATTAGAAATATTTACAGAATTTTGAATTACAGATTTTGGCTTTAGAAATTATTGAATTAAATCGAATGATTGGACCAAAACAAATCAAAAAATGGACAAAGATGAATAAAAACAATACATGCTAACTTTGATAATACCTCATTTTTAAATAAGTGGAAAATATTATGCTGAAAACCTATGCTTAAAAAATAAATTTTAAATTAATATTTTTTCAAAATTAATATTTTCTCTAATTTAAGTGATGACAACAACTTCATTATTCATAATACCTGATGGTACAAAAAAATTCATAGTAAATTAAAAATTAAAATCCCAGAGAAGGAAAAATGTGCAGTAGCTATAAATTCATCAAGAAACTTAAGTTTTTTATGTTGTGAGATATGAGCTACATTTTTCCCTCAGTTTGCACTGTTATGATAAAGACTTGTTTTTATAGAAATTTGTCCTAAAGAAAGTTCAATACACACGTGATTTCAAAATTTAGAATTTTCCCTAATGAAGTACAAACTAACAACAGTTTTTCAAGTACTTTTGACCTTGATTATCAGTAATAAATTATCAAAATAATTCAAAATATGCACAATTATCACAGTCTTACCTCTACAGCTTCAAACGCAGGGCCTCCCTGGAAACTGAAATCCAAACTTCCAATAAGACACAGGGAAGGAAGGAAGATGTCCTTAATTTCTTTCACAGGCGTCTCTGCAAACTTTCCATGTGCCACATTGCTCTGAGTTACAAACGCTGTGCTTTTAGTACCACAGCACTGTCACTATGTCACTGCTTACTGAATGCTATTTTGGGTT